CCCCCTGGTCTGTGGGGGCCCGTCTCCAGCAGACCAGGAACACTGGGAGCAAGGCAGCAGCAGCGGCGGGGTCCCGCGCCTCCCCGGCTTTGCCAGAGCAAAGCCTCAGAGGCGCAGGACCCCTCTGCCTCCCTGGCTTTGCTCCCGGTGTCCCTGGTCTGCTGGAGACGGTCCCCAGCAGACCAAGGACACCGGGAGCAAAGCCGGGGAGGCAGAGGGGCGCTGGGGCGCTGCCGGTTGGCCTCTTAAGGGGGCGTAGTCTTATAAGGCGAGTATAAGACGAAAACCTATCTTTTAACCAGAAAATTATGGGGTCATCTTATACGCCCAGTCGCCTTATACGCCGGAAAATACGGTATGATTACAGGATAAGGAAACTCGAAAGCTCATGATACCATCTACATGTTTTGTTAGTCTATAAAGTGCTACCAGACCATTTGCTTGCTGTTTTATCATATTTTAAGAAACTGAATATTGTTTATATCCTAATTTTCTTGACAGAACTGATAAAGTGAAGCTCACAAAAGCCAGTGCCATCTGCTAATGTGCAAGAAAGAATTAATGGATCTATCTGCGACCATAAACCATGAGAACCATAGTTTTATTAAGGAAGAAAAAAACATTGTTATTTATATAGAAGAGAACATTCAAGAATCTGGGGCATAACCCAGACAATACCATACACAGGAGGACTTGATTCTTTGAATGAGGGAGCACATTTTGAACTTGTTCCCTCTCCAGTTTTGCGAGTGGCATTTCTAAATTTCGTTTGCTATTAAAAAAAGTTTAAAATGCCCAAAATGAGACCAAAAAATTATCTGACCCAAAACAAAGTGGTCAGAGGAGAGAGATTTGGGTTTCCTAGGAAAATAAAAATATTTGTGTTTTGGGTCATTCTGAAATATTTTTGTTCAGTTCAGCTAGCAAAGTGAAAATTCTATTATTTGCACAACTCTATTCAAAAAATCTTAGGGCTCGAAGAGACCTCAGGAGGTCATTGAGTCCATCCCCCTGCCCAAACCAGGACCAATCCCAACTAAATCAACCCAGCCAGGGCTCTGTCAAGCCGAAACTTAAAAACCTCTAGAGAGAAAGTGCAAGGATTAATCCTAATGGTATTTTTGTTTAACTTTATGCTTTTCTAATGTGGCTGTTTTTATAGATTCCACATGTTAACAAGACCCTTACTCTCTCTGCAGCTCAGTTTCTCCATCTGTAAAATGGGGACAATGATCCCTACCTTCCTTTACAAAGCACTTAAATCTATGCATGAAAAACTTTCTATAAGAGCCAAGTATTATAAGTTACTGACAAGGAATTATTAAGATTGCATTCCATGTAAACCTAAAATTGAATCTCAAACTTTCTTTTTAAAAAATCCACTATAAGAGCACGGCTTAACTTTCTGTAGCAGAAGAACTACAGAATTGGGTATTTGAAAGGGAAAGGAATCTCTCCCCACAACTGCTTATCATCCTGAAAGCTCATTTAGGAAACTGGAGTAAAACCTAGAAAAATGCAAAGGCTCACTCTCTTGATTCATCTCTCACATGCAAACTGTACTTGCTAGCGAGAAAGACTTCACTGGTACCAGATTCCAAAACCCTTATTTTTGGTAAAGTGTATCTTTCTCAGTGACGAACATAATGCTGAAAAGGCAAAAGCTAGTTTTTATGGTAAACACCCATCTCTTTATGAGTTCCCATTTAAAAACTGTATTTGGGAGGAGAGAGGGAATAGATGACTCAGGAGATTTGAACTGGGATGCAGTAACTTTCATTGTCTGTCCAAACTCAGCTTAGGTCATTTGTGACCAAAAATTGCTAGCATTAGATGGCTGTTCAGCAAAGAGAGTCTGATAATCTGTCAGATTTCCAGTAAATGTGTCTAACACAAAACACCCTGCAATTTATACCAAGACAACAACTGTGTTGGCAATCAGGAAAAAAAAAAAAAAAAACAAGGACTGAATAAGCCCAGGATCCTCTCATTCCTAGCTGTGGTCGTTTCAGAAAAGAGTTGACATACATTGGCACAACTATGTGTGGAAGAAGCTTGTGCTTTTTCTTACTGCTTTGTTCCTATTCTATGAATAAAGCAACTCGGGCTGTGGGTGTAAGCACGAACACACTCACAGAAAATATGGCTGAACACTGCAAATAGGGTTTATTTGTTCATCTTGAATTACCTTTAACATTTTAATTGCCAAAAAGAAAGGAATAAGTCTATTGTCCTTCCCCATTCAGCATGTACTTTGCTGAATCAGGAACATAGGCTTTGAAAGAGAGACTGGATGGAGGGTATTTAATTTACAGGATAAGCCTCTTGATATGGGGACTGATTTACTCTGTGTAATATTCAGTGCCTCAGTGGATTATATAAATGAATAATAGTGCAATGGTCACATGCCATACAAGTGTTCCAGTAGAAAAAAACTGGGTATTTTCTTACCACCCCGGTTTTTGGCTTT